GCCCTTGACCGGAATCAAACCTGGGACCTTTCAGTCCGCAGGCCTACACTCTATCCACTGAGCCAAACAGGTTAGGGCATTATGATGTTTTTTGATATTACTTCAGATTCAGGCAACAACAAAAGTGTGATTATTCATTTTTTATAATGACTATTAGCACCCTACATTTAAATAATGTGTTAAAAGTGTGTATGATTTGCAAAGCCCATATACTAGTATTTTGCTTGATCTTCGAATCAACTCTGTGAGGGAGGTAGGGGAGAGAGGACTTATTATCCTCATTTCATAGAGGGGCAAATGGCAGCTGAGCAAAGTTAAGCAGCTTACCCAATGTCACAGAACCAAACTATGACTAAACACCAGTAATTATGGTAACTAGTACTATTTTTGTGTACAATTGATGTGCAAAATAGGTGGCACAAAAATTAACCTTTTAAAATCTAATATTTACATCTTATAAAGTTTACATAGTTTTATATAAACTTTATAATTTCCCTCTACTTTTGCCAGCAATATTATTTTCAATAAATGATAATGATGGATGTTCGCTTTTAAAATACATTAAAGTTTTAAAAAGAGTACATTAATGAAAAGTTAAGTAAATTATAATGCAAGGGGCACACAAATGAAGCAAAATTCATTAAGGTAGATTTTGAGGAAAGAATTTGGAAACTCTACACACTGTGGAAACAGAATAATATAAATCCCATTTCTGAGAAGGAAAATAGGAAATCAGAACTGAGTTTCCCTTTGAGAAAAATGTCAGCTTTAATGAAAAGGAACCTAGGAAATAATCATTTGGACTTTTCCTTTACTGCAAGACAGGGGAGTGATTCTCTCTGCCTCAGGACACATACTAACCCTCTATGTTAACAGTGCCACAAGTGGACTAGTTGAGCTAAGGTCTAAGGTGCTGATTCCACCCAGCGGCATAGCTCAGTGATTGAGCATCAACCTGTGAACCAGGAGGTCATCGTTCAATTCCCAGTCAGAGCACATGCCTGGGTTGCGGACTTGATACCCAGTGTAGAGTGTGCAGGAGGCAGCTGATCAATGATTCTCTCTTATCATTGATGTCTCTCTCTCTCTCTCTCTCTCTCTCTCTGTCTCTCTCTCTCTCCTGCTCCCTTTCTCTCTTAAATCAAGAAAAAGATTTTTTTTAAAAAAAGGTGCTGATTCCAACTGCCCTACTGTTTTTCTTGATGTTTCATTATCCTTGTAACTTCACTGACAAGGCCCAGGAGCTCAGAGCTATGAGCAGAGTTTGTCATTACCTCTTTTAGAATTTCTATGCTAGCCCCTGTTTGGGTAGACCTAAGATTGCAAAACATATTGTAGGCAATTATATTGTCATAAAATAGGGCTAGTGAAGGAGCTAGTGAAGGATTTCAGTTATAACAATAATCTTGAAACACATTATGAACCCCAGCGGGGGTCTCTTTTGTCTTTTTGATGAAATGCTCAAGAAAGTGCCACAAAAGGTCATTGCTTACGAAACAAGTAGTCCAACAGCAAGATTTAAAAAAATGCTCTGAGCTTCTGTAGTGACAGCACAATGCTGCAACAAACATTTAGGATGATCTCCCTGGCACTCCCTCCAGCCACTATCAACAGTCACTCTAAAGCAGAGGTTCTTGCTATGTGGTCCCAGGACAGGCAGCAGCAGCAGCATCAGTTGGGAACTTGTTAGGAATGCAAATTCTTGCTCCTCACCCCAGACCTACCTCATCATAAGCTCTGAGGGTGGAGCCCAGCAGACTTTTAACAAGCTTTTCAGGGGATTGGGTATATTGAAATTTGAGGATCGCTGCTCTAATAAAGCAATGGTTATCACGGTGAGGTCTAAGACTAACATGTGCATTGGAGAAGTAACTTTTCAGTTCTCCAAGTCTCATTTGCCTCATCTGCAGAAAGGATACAGTAATATGCAACCTGCACAGTTTTTGCAAAGACTAAATGAGACGGGAAAGAGCAGCTGGCAGATTTAGAGTAAGTTGAACTTCCCTTTCCTTTCTCTAGAAAAGCAGGGTCCTTTTCTGCTTGGGCCTTTAACATTAGGTCACGTCTGTTCTCTTCATCACTACCTGCACTTCCAGTGCACCTTATGGATTTACCTGGGCTGCTCATTCAAAATACAGATGCTGGGGCCTCAGCCCAGATTTAGGGGTGGAGAGAGAGAGCAGGAAATCCACTTCTTTAACAAAATTACCAGGTGATTCCTTGCACACTGAAGACTGGGAACAACTGGTTTAGCTGCTCTGAACTACTGCCCCAAGCCACTTCTTGCCTTTCTCAAAAGCAGTAACCAAAAAAGCGTACTAATTTGGCCCACTCTCCTCCTCCCTTCACTCTCTCCAAGCTACAGTAAGTCCTCACTTATCATCAATAGGTACTGCGACTTTAAGTGAAACGATGTACAATGAAACCGATTTTATCATAGGCTAATAGATATAAACAAGAGTTAGGTTCCTGTGGTACCTCATCAATGTTATAACAAAACAACATGGAGCAAAACAACGTTATCCGAGAACCTGCTGTTCTCTTAAAGAAGAGGCAGACAGTCATGGTTGAGAGATCAAGCTTGAACACAAAAAGGTTTGAGATCAAACCCCAACTTCACTATTTACCAAAGTGTGGTCCCTCAGCATCAGCATCACCTGGGAACTTGTTAGCCAGCCAAGTTCTTAGGCCACACCCCAGTTGGACTGAATCAGAAACGCTGGGGGTAAAGCCCAGACATCTGTGTTTTAACAAACCCTCCAGGTGATGCTGATGCAAACTCAAGTGTGAGAAGCACAGCCACTTGACTCCCTGAATAACCCTGTGCAGATTCACAGCTTTCTAAAACCATCATTTCCTCATCTGTGAAATACTAAAAGTACTAACCACATAAAGTTGTGACAATGACATGACACAATACAGATAAAGAACTTAATAGTAAACAATAAATATCTATTGTTATTATTATGAAGAAAACTGTCCTTTATCCCAGGGATTCTATTCAACTTGGGATGTTTGTTTCTGAGCCATCGTTACGTGGCTCAAAGCTTAACTGCTAACTAGCCTGATTTCCGCTCCATCCCAAGCAAATGGAATGCTATTCATTTACTGCTACACGGCTTTCTACCTCCATGTTTTCACTATTCCTATTCCACTTGCCTAGAATGCCCTTCCATTCTCTGCCCACATTGTCCAAATCTTACTTCTCCCAACAAGATCAGCTGAGGTGGGCTCCCAGGTCTTGCCTGACTGCTCCAGGCCAAATAAATCTGCCTTTCTTTTTTATGTATATTTTTATTGATTTCAGAGAGGAAGGGAGAGGGAGATAGAAATATCAATGACAGAGAATCATTGTTGGGCTGCCTCATGCATGCCCCCTGCTGGGGATTGAGCTCAAAACCCGGGAATCAACCATGACCTCCTGGTTCATAGATTGACACCAACCACTGAGCGACACTAGCCGGGCTAATCTGCCTTTCTTAACACTGTCCATTTTCATCTGTGTTGCAGGATTTAACCCCTAAGCAATCAGTTTTCAATCTTTTTCATCTCATGGCACACATGAACTAATTACTATAATTCTGCTGCACACCAAAAAATATATTGTTTGCTAATCTGACAAAAAAAATGGGTATAATTTTGATTCATTCATACTAGTTATTGGTGTGTTGCTTGTTGTCATTTTTTAATTTGACAATCTAAGGGAAAAGAGGTCAGTGCCCCTGTCTCAATAGTCAAGTACTACACGTTTTAAAAATTCTTGTGGCACACCAGTGTGCCACGACATGCTGGTTGAAAATTCCTGCCCTAAACACATGCATGCATGCTACTGGTGGGTTTTATTTCTGGTTGTCTTGTCCCTTTATAATGAAGCTCTTAGGTGCTAGCCAATTTGGCTCAGTGGATAGAGTGTTGGCCTGCAGACTGAAGGGTCCTGGGTTCGATTCTGGTCAAGGGAACATACCTTGGTTGCAGGCTCCTCCCTGGCCAGGGCCTTGGTTGGGGCTTGTAAGGAAGGCAACCAATCAATGTGTTTCTCTCACATAGGTGTTTCTCTCTCTTTCCCCTCTCTTCCAATCTCCCCCCCAAAAAAATCAATGGAAAAATATCCTTGGGTGAGGATTAACACAAATATCTATATATATATAAAGCCTAAGTGACGGTTACGACCGGTTGACTGAACAACTGGTCATTCTGACGTGCACTGACCACCAGGGGGCAGACACTCAATGCAGAAGCTGCCCCCTGGTGGTCAGTGCGCCCCATAGCCAACTTCCCACAGCTGGCCAACCTCCCACGGTCCCTCCCCGCCGGCTGGGCAGCCTTGATTGGGACTGGGCAAAATGACCCCGATCAGCTCCAATCACCAGCCAGGCCGAGGGACCCCCCCCCCACGTGCACGAATTCGTGCACCAGGCCTCCAGTATATAATGAAGTTCTTAGGAACTAGAGACAGTACCTTATAGTTCTTTTTCAATCTCTTCCTTATCCAGCTCTGGTATATACTAAAGGAGTGAACAAAGTCCTAGAGCAGTTTAAGGCACAGGCTCTTTCATTTAAGGCACACTTGGAGAAACTTTTTTAAAACACGGACTTTAAAGAATGGTAATAATTACAGTAGCTTAGGCTTGTTTAAACTTCACAATTTAAAAAATGCTTTGGTATTTTTAACCGAAACTAGTTGTCACAAAAACCTTGGGAAGTGGGGATCATTGTCCCTGTTTACACATGAGGAAACCATTCAGATCATTCTTGTGACTAGCCCAAGGCTGTAGGACTAGTAAATGGTAGAGCTGAGGCTCACACCACATCTCACTGTATTTTTTCCCTTGGCTACTTTGGTTTGCCGAGTTTGTTACTGGTGCTGTTATCCCTGTGCTGTGCCACAACCTCTAAATTCAACTCTCTGAAAGCGAGTGCTGCTCAAATAATGACGGGCCTTTCTGCTCCTTTGGACGTCAAGACAGGGCCCATTGGGAGAAGAAGCAGTACAGCCTCACCTGGTGTTCCTAGGCGGGCCTGAGCAATGGTCAGTTTTTCATGGGGCGCTTGGCACTGGCAGCTGACTTCATCTGCAAATGGGGCAGGAGCAGTCAGAGTCTAGAAGGGAAAAAGAGAAAGGGAATAGAGTCTAATAAACTTTCCTTGGGCACTAACTTCCTCTGAAGTTTTATTTCTGTTGGCTTCACAGGTATGATCAAGAAGTAGAATATATCAGTGGAGTCTTTCAGAGAAATATGGTACTATTAGAAATAAAAACGGGGACATTGTCACTGAAACATTATTTTTTTGACTGCTGCCTCAGAAATAATAACTCTCCAGTCTCTGCCATATGCCAGGTACCAGATGAGGTACTCTGCATATGCTAATTCCTCCAGGCCTCACAACAAACAGCCTGTGATGGTTAGATCCCTTCTATCCTTCTACAGCAAAGGAAAACACCATCTCCAGTTCACAGAAAAGGAAACTGAGGCTCAGAGGCATTAAGAAATATGCTAAGTCATGCCCTTGGAAAGTCACAGTGTTCAGCTTTGAACATTTCACAACCAGCAAGGGCAGGCTTCAAGCATTAAGACTTACCCACACCCTGGGGTACTCAGCTGGAAGGAATGCCATACTCAGGAGTGTGGCAGACATCTGTATTTCACACACACCAGCCTGGCCAATCACGAACTCTGACGTCTCCTCAGTGCAAAAGCCAAAGACGTTATCTGTTCCCTGGGAGGGCCTGAAAGCACAGCATTTCTGGCGGGCTGCAGATAAATTGCTCCTGTGGTAGCTCCAACGGCCACCAACGGCTGGAGGCCCCGCCCCAGGCAGCTGGGGCTAAGGCTCTGGGGAGAGCTGTGAGAGAGATGTAGTCACTTGGATGCCTGCCCAGGAAGTGCCTCTGCATTTTTTAGTCAGCTTCTTAAAATGAAAACCTCACTCTCTCCAGACAGGGGAAGACAAAGCCAGGGGTGTTTTTGTAAACAGGGCAAATGCAATCCAGAGTCGTCCATTTGCAGTCTCTGAGCCATGTCCTTATCATGGTCATCACTACACCTGCTTTGCTATTTTTAAAGCCGAAGTCACTGTAAATATTACTCGTGTTGTTGCAGAGATTGTTTCTTAGAGCTAGACACAGGTGTTCCTCCACCTGATAAGACTCAACTGAATAATGATCCATACATTTGAAGAGGGACTGTGACCCACTTTTGCCATTCATTTATTTATTCACTCGTTCATTCATTTATTCACATGCTCATTCAAATATATGTCAAGCACTATCTTAGAACTGGGTATACAAATAGGGATGAGACCGGTCCCCGTCCTGGGGGAGTCCCGCTTCTCTGTACTGCCAAGAACCCATCCTGCCCCGTTCCCACCCTTCCTCCCCATTGTAGCACCTTCCGCCCTGGAAACTGGAGTCCTGCCCCAGAGTTGCTTGGAGACCTCCCCATTGCCTGAGACACTTAACCCCCACCATCCCGTCCAGGGCTCTGAAAGCAGACCAAGACTTGGGACATGGACTCAGGAAACTTTAGTTCGTTACTAGTTCTTTTTCAGAAACATTAAGGTGACCACGTGGGCCCCGGTGGGCCAGGGCAGCATTTGTAATATGCCGAAGGGGTACAGTGACCAGAGCAGAGGCTCCATAGCCACAAATCTGAGGTTGAAATCCCCTTTCCAGCACTTACAGGCTGTGTATTCTCATTTGGCTCGCCTGGTTGAAAGAAACCGACACCCACTAAAGTTAGCTCAAGAGATGAGGGATTCTTTGAGGGCTACCCTGGCATGGAAACGGTGCGGGGAGGATAGGGGCAGCACCTGGTCCCAGAGAGCTAGCTGTGCACCAACCTGGCATGTGATCCTTTCTGTCCCACACCCATTCACCCTACACCCTTCCATGATGTTAAAGTCTCTGCTTGCCTTTGACTCCCCGATAAACTTCAGTTTGAATGGGGCCCATCATGGCCTCCTCAACCTCCCTTCCCAATACTCATTCAGCAGCTTCTGATTGAGCCTTTCAGCCCCAGCTCCTGCTCCTACCAACTTACTGCTTCTTTCCATGTTTCCCAATTCACATTCCTAAGGGAGAATCAGACTGGCCAAGTTCATGAATTCAAAACAGGCTACAACCAGAATTAGCCTGCATTGAATCAGGTGCCCACCATCTGTGGCTGGTGAGGGGAGGAGGAGGGTGAGGGGGTCATGGGTTGCCTGCCATTGCCCCTTTAGCAGGCGCTGCTGTTGGGGCCAGAAATGTATTTGACCTTGTGTGCTCTTAAAAGGAAGTTCGTTTACTTGGTTGAATCTCAGTTTCACCTATAAAATGGACACCAATCTTGCAGGTTGATGCAGAAAACAGAGATAAATTATGTCAAGTACCTGGTACTCAATAAATTGTGGCAATTATTATTACTGCTATTAGTATTCATTCTTATACATAACTAGGGGCCCGGTGCACAAAAATTTGTGCACTGGGGAGGGGGTTCCCTCAGGCCGGCTTGCCCCCTATCACATACTGGGAGCCCTAGGGGATGTCCTACTCCCTGCTCCCTGCTCCCCTTGGGGAGCGGGCCTAAGCCACAGTCTGGCCTCCCTTTGTGTGAGTCGACCGGGCTGATCAGGGGAAGGCACCAGCCCCATCACCCTGCTGTTGCAGCCACTGCCAGTCACCGCAGCCACCAAGGTGTTTTCATCAACACGGACTCCAGTCCCTTTACCATGAAAAAATGACAACTTTCTTTAGGCATTTTCAAGAAGTGTCTTTCATAGGATATGACATTTCTTTCTTTCTTTATCCTCACCTGGGGATATGTTTCCATTGATTTTTAGAGAATGTGGAAGAGAAAGGGAAAGACAGAGAGAAACATCAAAGTGAGAGGAACACTTTGATTGGTTGCCTCCTGCATGAGCCCTGACCTGGGCCGGAGTCAGGGAGGAACCTGCAACCTAGGTACATGCCCTTGGTCAGAATCGAACCCAGACCCTGCGTTGGGCAGGCTGAGGCTCTATCCACTGAGCCAAACCGGCTAGGACAGGATATGACATTTCTTAACCCTCCAGCAGCAGACCTTCCTTTTTTTCTCCAGGAGTGTGGTAAAAAAAAACCCTAGATCACTTTTTGGACTCTTATTACCCAAGTTACTAAGAGTATTACCAGTGGCATACAAAAAGCTTAACCAATCAGCAGTCAGAAAAGGTGTTTCCTCTGTAGTTCACACCAATTGCTGGTTTGGCCCCTGCCCAGGCCTAACGCCTCTGGCGAGACATTAGCCCTGGGCCAGGGCACCCCCAGCTCCCAGCCACCGTGGCCATCAAGGATCGCTGGCTGGCTGCGCCCCGGTTCCGGCCACCACCACCATCAAGGATCACTGACTGGCTCCTCCCGGGCCCAAGCCTAAAGCCTCTGGCTGAGGCGTTAGGCCTGGGCCGAAGCACCCCCAGCTCCCCGCCACCGCAGCCATCAACGATCCCTGGCTGGCTCCTTCCTGACCCAGGCCTAAAGCCTCAGGCCGAGGTTTTAGGCCTGGGCCAGGGCACCCCCAGCTCCCCGCCGCCGCTGCCGCTGCCATCGACGACGATCGCTGGCTGGCTCCTCCCCGGCTCCCGCCTCAGCCAATCGCTGGCTGGCTCCGCCCTGGTTCCCCGCCTCCGCTGCCATCAACAATCGCTGGCTGGCTCCGCCCTGGTTCCCC